TTGTAGCACACAACCGCAGGCCACTGTGGCATGGGAAAGAAAACAATTCTTTGAAAGTCAGCGCTGTCTTCTGAGACTAAAAGCTAGACACCTTTCCAAGAGAAATCCATATCATTTTTCTCTTGAGGCTGTTCCCCTTCAAATTTGTGTCTTTTTGCAGCAGTTTTTTTCCCTCCATCTGGGGGTAAAAATGCCCTATCCTTCCCCTCTGTTCTTCCCAGTCTGATTCCTCATATTATGGTCATACTATTCTTCTTTCCCCAAAGGATCCTACCAACAGTGAGAAGTCTTCCTGGCACTACGGACTAGTGAGAGAGAAATCTGATGTGGATGTGCACCCAAAGGCATTTTATAGTAGCAGACAGATTTAATAGCATATCTGATTTGAAGTGGAGTGAGCAGCCCACTCAAAAGAATCTCCACTGCCTTACTAACTACAGTAAATCCTCATTAGTAGCAACCAAATAGATCCTGTTGATGCCTCTGATCCTGTGCAGGGTTATTCCATTTGGTAGCCTTTGCTTCTCCTTGATTATTCCATCTGTTCCAATATGAAGGAGCTTTTCCTTAGTATTTGAGGTCTCTTTGGGGCAGTAGTAACCCTGGAAGGTCTGGAGCAGAGAATGGCGATGGCATCACTTCTCTTAATGATTTCTCTTCTGCCTTGGATCCTTTCACTGAAGGAAATGGGTAATCATCCCTGGAGGACTTTGTTTCCTGTGTGTGTTGTGAACCAGAAGCCTGCATTGAGTATGTCTTGTCCTGTTCCAATCACGGGCAGTGATTTTTATGGGAAGAAAGTAATGAGATGTACATCTGTTTCACCTGTGGTTGGAATTACGCATTCCTATTTTCAATTTTTGTCACTGATGCTTAGCTGGAAAGACAGACAATAGAGCCTGAGGTTACTGTCCTCTGGGTATTTTCACTCTTTAAGCCATATTATAGTCTATGTTTTAGAGAGAGTATTATAGAATTTGATAAGAATTATACCAGTAATAGAAATTTAATAGAGCTAAAAATACAGTGAAAATATAGGCTTTAGTAAAGAATTTATCACTTTAATAGATCTTCTTTTAAACCTGCCTACAGTAGACTGAAACAGTATTGACGTGTGTGCAGCTGTTTAAAAAAAAAAACCTGTAGAAAGAATAAGACAAATTATAACCTATTGGCCTTTTCTGTAATAGATTCCAACCTTTAAAATAGTATTGTTTAATTAAGTTTTGCATACCTCCGTCTACCCATTATGAAATCTTGACAATAGAATCTGTACTATTAAAGGAACTCGGGCATCTTTTAGCATAGTATTTAATAAAATACGTATTAGCGTAAAACTAAAACCTGCAGTATTCGGGGGTTCTGGTTTGTCTTCGCAATGTGAATGGAACAGAGTAGATTCTACCTTTAACTAAAAGGCCTGTGGAGATTTCTCTAACTGGCCTTGTTTTCCAGTAGAGAGGTCAGGACTTTTTCAGAGGAAAATATTTTGGATTAAGTGCAGCCTTGTAAAAACTCACAATATAAACAAGCAAAATGTGAACAACAACATAGAACTAGTTACGACAGCAAAGCTCAGTGGGGACTGATGTTTTGGCAGACATGCCACCAGATAAGCTCTGCTCTCTCCCCTAGTACCATTCTGATCCCCTTCCCCTGCTCAGTCTGCTGCTCCTCTTTCTGCTACCTGGCCTTTCGGCTTTGTTTTCTGCTTTCTGCCCTGTGCTCTTTGCCTGATCTGTTGCTTTGCTTTCTGCTCTGTGCCCTGTCTGTCTCCATGTTACCTGTTCCCTCCATGATCCGCTTTGTGCCACACACACATGCTGTCTGTGCCACTGGTGGCACTCATGCCGTGATGGATTGGCCACCCTTGGGACAGCTCATGCTGTTGCAGTCTGAGTGAGGGTCTTCTGGCATTTCCATTTTACAAACCATTTTTAAACAAGGCTACTGCAGGGATGCTGTAATGCAGTTGAGGCCCAGATTTATTTCTGTAATAGATTGGGATAATCTGATGCACAGTGGTCTCTGCTATCTAAATAGCAGTTTAAAACATCCACAATATTATGCCCTGAATGGATTAGAATGAACACAGGAATGGGACCAAGGAGGTCATAGAACAGTTGAAAGGAAAGACTCTTAAAGAGACAAAAGACCTATGAGACCGATGTTGGGAATGTGAGATTGGAATGTGTGATGGGGAAAGGATGGATCAGGGAGCACTGAGGGAGATGTAGAGGAAACTGAGTATGAAGATGGGACAAGGAAAAGTTTAGATTGCAGACTTCAAGCTCTTATATATATATACATTTCTGTTAAATGTCTCTTTTTTGTGGCTGTCTATTACCCTGTTTCACTCAGGTCCAAACATCATGTTTCCCAGTGGTTTGCTGAAATCTGTAGCCAGGGAACCCTGATTGGATTGTCCTCATAAGCTCTGTAGGGGCAGAGCTCTGGTTTACTGGAAGTCATGTACCATATGTCAATTTATGCTTATTTATGTACCAAGTAGTGTATTTTGTTTCTGTCCAAGCAGAAAAGTTCAAAAAGGAAGACAGGTTCATTTAACAAAGTTGATTCTATGAACTAAGCCATCAGCAGCATGAGCATCACAGATGAGTTTCATGTCAGCAAGGATGCAAATGCAGCAAATTCACAGTGCCTTGTTTAACATATCATGACATTTGTCAAATGCAAGAATCAAAACCATTTGGAAAGAAGGATTATTTTTTAATTTGTAGGCATACATACCAACTAGTGTCCCTTTAAATATAATTAGTGCTGAAATTTTTGCACAGAGGCTCTTGATAGCTCTGGAGTTAATATTCTTGTTGTATAATATAAAGCTAGAAATGTGTTTGGCAGCTTTTCAGCTATAAGCCTGGGGAGATGTGGAAAGGTAGGTGAAATGGCCAGGCCTGACAAATAAGTGGGTGTGCTTGATAATGAACTAACTTCCTTTTTTTTTTTAAATAGATGCTGGCTTTGCCTCCAGTTGTAGGTCAGAACCTTGCAATTGGCCAAACCCCAGTTAGTTCAATGGACCTTTATGCCTTAACAAAGGTCTGCTAGCATGTATGAGCTTGAAGAATCAAGATACTATCACATGACAAACATGAAGATTACTTCTTGCAGTTTACTGAAATTCTACCTAATTCAGATCTGAGAACCACGTGCAAGTTTGTTCACATCATGCTAATCCATGGGATCTAGACTCAGAGCAATAAGAAATAAAATTGCTTCACCCTTTTAATTTAGATAGCTCATAGCACTTTTCAGACAAACCAAGTGCCCTGTTTTACTGTGATAAATCAGGCACAAATAAAGGAAGTTAATAGTGGAGCTTAGAATACAGCTTCAGCAGTAACTTCTATCAAGCATGGAATCTACCAAAGATGTCATTGTTTTTCCAGTGGTACCTCTCATTAATTATTTTTCTGCAATGAGAATAACTGTATTTCTCTAATCTTGAATGAATGACTTCACTCCTTGCTGTCCCAAATACATGTTGTATGCAGAGATGCTATATTTAGATGTAGTCCAACCACCCTGTTTGGTGTGGGAGGAAAAACTCCCTGAGGAGGGATGGAATGTGTTGAAAGCAGTTTGGTAGAATAAAACTTTTAAGGGAATCCAGCCTTGTTGAATTTGTTTCCCTTAGAAAGGTAGTTTGTTTGTATCTGCACCAGGTTTTCTGTAATGATCTTCACTGATTAATCCCACTGGGGCTGGCAGTATGCCCCACAGTTCTTTCACACATTCATACAGATGTTAGCATAGTTGATTACATTGGTGTTTCTCTCTCTGGCATTCATCGCTTCTGTCCTTGATTATAAAAATGAAAGTAGTGCTATTCTGTGTTTGATAGAAACAGCCACAATCATATCTTTCAAGGCAGACAAGATATCAGTACATAAAATACATTTCTTGGGCAAGGGGGAATGAGAAACTTGTATCTTATTTTTCCTTTAAATACGTTTTTTTTTAAATGATGGTGTCTACAATGAACTATGACAGGCTGCCTCTTGTGTACACTTAGCATGTTTAGCAAAAGTTAGGGTGTGGTAGTTGAACTGGAAAAAGATTTTTAGGGACTGCTGTAGAGCCAGGAAAATTAGTTCTGATTTATGGAAATGCACTGGTCATATTCCTAACTAGAATATGTGACCTAAAGCACTATATGTTGAATGAATTGCACTGGATAGTTGCAAAGAGCTGAGAGGCAAGTGTGCACAGTCGAGAACAAGTATATATCCTTACTGGATGATGGGCTTCACAAGAAATTTCTGGTGCATTTATAAATCCTGTGTAGTGCAAAACAGTGAAAAGTAATAGAAGATATTATGTGCCAAAAAAGATTCTTGAAGATGAAGGGAACTTTAAAGGCAGTATTACTACCTTCATTTAATAGATAGGCAGTTAGTTACATGTTGGCTGCTGCTGTTAAAGTTCATGCAAGTTGACTCTCTTGTGCCTTTCAGTTCTTTTGAAAGTCTCTCAGAAAAGTTAAGTGACTGCCTGAGGGAGGCACCAGGGTCTCATGGTTTAGCTGTACAACTGGAATTAGGGCCTTTTAAAACAAACAAACAAACAAACAAACAAACAAACAAATAAATAAATAAATAAATAGAGAGAGAGAGAGAGTCTGGGGGGGGAGTACCTCTTAACATTACTCTTTAAATTTGCCTCAGCTGTAAAATGGGAACAGTAAAAGTTTTCCACTTAGTCCTTTGGACAGCTGGACTTCTAATACCTGCATATCCTGTACCAAACCTTTCACATTTCACGAGTTATGACTTTTCATGCAGAAGCATTGTTTTTTCCATGTAAAAATCCAGATCCAGGGAAATACATTGCATGTTGCTCTGGTATTACAGTCTGGGTAACTAGCAAATTTCACCAGGTGCAGGGGAATGAAAAAATGCTTGGAATTTACAGCTATAAAAATAATCTCCCTTGTTCTAGTTACAGAATTAATATGTTCTTTCTTTTTCCCCCAGGACATTCAGGCTGAGATTGATGCCCACAATGATATTTTTAAGAGCATTGATGGAAACAGACAGAAGATGGTAAAAGCCCTGGGAAACTCTGAAGAAGCTGCCCTGCTCCAGCACCGTCTTGATGACATGAACCAGCGCTGGAATGACCTGAAGGCAAAGTCAGCCAGCATCAGGTTAGTAATAGAAGCATCAAAATATGAATGGGAAAGGGTCTCTCTTTTTCTGTTACTGTCCTGAAATATCACTATCCCATAAAAGTGAAATTTCAATTTTCTTCTGTAAAATACTTTTGGATTCAGATATAAAAATGCTGTGTACTTGCTAGTCTTGGAGGTTTAACTACTTGAGTTGCTGTCTTCAGAGCTATACAGTTATATCTGTCCAATTTGTACTAACAGCACCAGAAAGTGATTCTAAATCTCTTCTTTCACCACTGTAATTCAAAAGTAGCTTCAGTGAAGTCACTCCATGAAGCTACAACTAGTATGATGAGAAAGCCATGTTCTAACTGAAGGTAATATTTGCATCTTGAGTATGTAGTTGCTTTTTTTCCTCGTGAAAATCACTGATTTATACCTTTTTTAATAGGTTAAGCAGGACTAATGCTCATTTATTTTAAACATAATAGCACATTGGTGCAGGGTGAAAGACTTGCTGCCTTTTCAAATGTGGTCATAATTAAAATTTTTACAATATCATTTTGCAAGTAGATTAATGTTACTATGGTTGTTATAGGGAAGAAACTGAATCCCATATTAATGTTAATTACTTATAAAGGCATTTATAGAGATTTTAATTGTTACTGCTTGGCTAGTGATTAAAGCAAACTATATTTTATTGTAGTATAGGAGTGTTAAGTATCTATATTAATTCTCCAAAGACCAGAAAATTCAGCTCAGGCTGAAATTTAGGTTTAATGGTTTGAATTGTAAACTAAAGGGACAAATGATTCAATTATTTAATTTTAGGTTCTACTTAACCATGTCACCAAGTGTCTATATAGTCATCTGGAGCTGGGCAGCTCTGTGTAGTAAAGGTCCAAGGCCAAGGTAGCAGAATTTCAGCAGAGTTTGGTATGAAGTTGCAGAGACTGACCCTTGTGCTATGGGTATTCAAGACAATGAACATTAAATTTGGATTTCCATACACTTCACTCACAAATAAATTAACAGACAGGCGAGATGAAAAGACATTTATATGATAACAGTTTAATCAACAACTGCAGAGTTTTAGCAATAGCAATTTAGCCTTTACAAGGATTCATAATCATTTGGGAGAAATTAATGGCCCAAACTGTCCTCAAGCCATTTTCCCCAGCTACTAATGAACCTCCAAGCAAGGACCTCTGGATGACAGTGATCAATGCTAGAAGATCGCTTCTCAAAATTAAATTAGTTTATTTCTGTAAAGACATGGAGAACATACCATCCACAGGACATTGTTAATGGCAGCCCTGGTCATGTGGACATCTGCAGTGTTGCTGAGTCAGGAGTATGTTGCCTTGAACTTATAACTGAGAGGTAGGCTGAGAAGACTGTACTGACAAACTGAAGTAAATGCGTCTATAGAAGCTGACCTTTTTAGATGGACATTGGCACTGAAAGGACTGTATTTCTGGTTCTGCCTGTTTTGCCCCATGCTTCATTTGTAGTTCATCCAGGCCTTTGTTAAGAACAAAGAAATCTTAGGCTAGAAAGACTTGTCACTAACTGAAGTGGATCAGCTGTGTTGAGATGCGTTTGGGTGTAGCTGAGCTGCTTCCCTGGACAAAATATATGTTCTTGATACGTTATTCTATATGTTATTGATCTTATGGGACAACAGTTTCATAGTTTCATAGATTTAGGGTCGGAAGGGACCTAGTAGATCTTCTAGCCCGACCCCCCGCCAGGGCGGGAGAACAACAAAACCCCAAAACAAGAAACGGGACTCAAATGAGTCCAGCCAGGTAGGCATCCAGCCTCTTCTTAAAGACCCCCAGGGTAGGGGCCAGCACCACTTCCCTTGGAAGTTGGTTCCAGCTCCTAGCCGCCCTAACTGTGAAGTAGTTTTTGCGGATGTCCAATCTATACCTCCTCTCCATCAACTTGTGCCCATTACTCCTTGTTATGCCAGCGGGCGCTAGGGGAAACAGCGTCTCCCCCAAACCCTTCTGGTCCCCCCTAGTGAGTTTATAGACGGTCACCAGGTCCCCCCTCAGCCTTCTCTTGTGGAGGCTGAATAGGTTCAGGTCCCGCAGTCTCTCACTGTAGGGTCTGCCCTGTTGTCCCCAGATCATGCGGGTGGCCCTTCTCTGGACCCTCTCCATGTTGTCCACATCCCTCTTGAAATGGGGCGCACAGAACTGGACACAATACTCCAGCTGTGGCCTGACCAGCGTCGCGTAGAGGGGGAGGATCACCTCCTTGGCTCTACTCGAGATGCACCTGTGGATGCGTGACAAGGTCCGGTTAGCCCTGCCAACCATGACCTCGCATTGTCGGCCCATGTTCATCTTGGAGTCAGTAATGACTCCAAGATCTCTTTCTGCCTCCGTGCTCTCAAGTAGGGAGTTCCCCATTGTGTAAGTGTGCTGCTGGTTCCTACTGCCCAAGTGCAGCACCCTGCACTTGTCCGTATTGAAACGCATCGGGTTCCTGTTAGCCCACCCCTGTAACCTATCCAGATCCCTCTGCAATCTCTCACTCCCTGCTAGCGTGCTCACTTCCCTCCAAATTTTGGTGTCATCAGCGAATCAGTTGATATGTGCCTAGATGAGTCAGGGCACTGAGGTATGCCTGCTCCTTTAAGGGCAGTGGTAGCTTAGCTAGAGAACCCTGGGGGCATGGCTGGCTGGTGCCTCCTGAGTCTGGGGGTGGGGGCACCAGATCACTGACTGGGCAGGGGGGTGGGAGGGGAGCAGAGGCTGATCACTGAGCCCAAAATCACCAGCGGGGAAACTGGAAGTACACTTCCTCCAGGACTTCCGGTTTCATGGCTGGTGTTTCCGGGGGGTCCTTGTGCACCCATGTGCACCCCCTAGGCGTTGCCAATGCCTGTGGGCTAGGCAGAGCTCCCCAGCTGCAGGTTGCCATGGCAGCAGGCCAATGAAGGAATTAGCTGGCATCTGCACCCAGTCAGCTGACTGGAAGGAGGCAGGGACCTGGGCACATATAAGCCCCAGGGCTGGAGCTAGCCGGGGTTAGTCTCCTGGCAGCTGCCAGGGAAGGGAGCTCCTGCAGAGAAGAACTGCTTAGAGACACTGTGGCTGCCTGATATGCTGCTTACGGAACTAATGGGGCTCCAGAATCTCAACAGGTACCTGGGGCTATGAGGCACTTAATGCTTGGGGAGAAGTTTGGCTCTTTTAAAGAGACAGAGTGTACCCTGCACCATTTATATTATGTTATAGCCCAGGGGCTCATATTTTTGTTGTTGTTTGTGCATTGATGGACGGGAATGAAGCTAAATGGGGAGGAGGAGGCCTCACTGGGGCACACTACTGTGTAGAGACCCAGCACCGGAGAGGGCACAGCAGAGACGGGGCTGCAGAGAGCTCAGCACCAGAGAAGGCACAGAGACAGGGCTGCAGAGAGCCCAGCGCTGGAGAGGGCACTACTACAGGGGGTGTAGAGACCCCAACGCCAGAGGTTCTAACTACAAGGGCCCAAGGCTTAGTGATGGCAGGAGGCCAAGCTAGACTGAGGCGTCATAACAAGGGACAACATATAAATACTACCTGCAAGGCATGGGGCGTGGTAAAGGAAAGGTTTTGGAGTCACACATCTAGCCCATAAGGCTTAGGATGTCTTGGGAGGCACTGACTTTGAGTGAGACCCAGCAAGGGATCCAAAATCAGCAGGGTCTAGTGGGGTTTAGCAGGACTGTGGCTACACAAACTTGTGGGCAGCCGCCCAACTTATTATTTCAACCAACAAGATGTGGCAGGAGAGATTAGAAGGCAGCCGCAATGCAGAGCAGGCACAGTCACGGAGCTCTAGAGTCATCATGACAATCCCTGAGGACCCCACGCCCTGACACCAGATCTGCCCTGGGACTCTCTGGGGTGGGCCTCTGTAAGCAGGAAAAGCTGAGGGTGTTCTAATGCAGTCCCAGGCTTGTGACTGGCAATCAGCCAATTGGATGTCCCAGTCCCAGGAGTATACTGGCGGGAGTTGGATACTCTGGTGAGGTCCTGGAACTGAGACCACCAATCAGCTGATTGATGGTCTCAGCCATGTGACCACACTGGAGTGAGTTGGGCACTTCCATTCCAATTTCCAGGACATGCAGGATCCAGCCTATGAAGCTTGGGAGCACCCTGCCTGGGGCAACTCGAGATTGCGGACAACTTCAGGCTGATCACAGTCTTCTGCCATAAGACTAACACATCTGCCACAATAAAGCTGCACAAAGTAGTACCACCTCTATCAAGGCTACACATTTTAGGTATTTGTAGCATGGCAAGAGATATGAACATCTGTTTGACTGGCTTTTGTGCCACCCTAAAAAATCTTATTGTGGCACAAAGGCACAATAGCTGTTTCTACCCATAGCGAATGAGAAAAAAATGACAGAGTATTAGTATATTGCCTTTAATTCTTCTGTTTCTTCATTGTGCTCAGATTCATGGCTGAACTGCAAGTGAAATGCAGGGTAGGTCTATGGAGAAACTCAAATACTATTTTATGGTTTAGTATGGGAGTCTTGAAAGTTATTGTTGGTGTAATTTTCTCTGTTTTTCTACTACTCCTATATTAGGAATTTTCCATCCCTTCTTTAGAATAAAATTTCCAATCATGTACACTTCCTTATTTAAGCTTCCATCCTTGTTGCAATAGGTACTAAGGGCATAACTTATTCTGTGCAGAGGGCTGGCACAAGACCCCGTGCACCACTTAAACTCTTAATGCTGACTTTACATGAGACTCAAGTAGTGCACTGAGCCAGCCTAGTGCTAGACCTCTTCACAGAAGTGGCATTTATTCAGAATGATTAGCTTGCTGCCAGATGTAGAGTGCTGCAGACTGAAAAGACAGCACTTAGATATGTGCTTTCAGATACAGTCCAGGAACTGCTGGGGAACTATATTCTGACAATCGAGATTTTTTCTTAGCCTGCCCCACCTTTCCTTCAGATGCCACAAGCACCTTAGACTTAGCTACACTTCTTCTGATTTCACACCAAAATCTCT